CAATGTTGGTTTGTGCGTATCCCTACGTGAACATCTCCATCCAAGACCAAAAAATCAGCAGTGCTAAGGGTCACTGTCCCGCTGCTATGTCTGGTGGTATCTGTTGATCTGTGATGCTCGGTACCAGTCATTGTTCCATATATCGCTGCTGTGAGCATTCTGCCTGACTTCGAAATGGAGGCTTTGTGAGGTTTCCAGCTAGAAAGGCCAATTGCCATTTTTTCTAATTTGTTTTTACAAAGGGGAAGTCTTAAGTGGGTCAGTGTGGACGATGTACCAGCCACAAGCAGCTGTCGTGGGTCACTCTGTAACCCTGAAACACCCAGTCTCTTTGCTTTCTTCTCCTGACAATTAGATACTTCCTGTAACCCCCCCCCCCCAGCCCCCGGAAAAAAAGGCCTGCTTTATTTTGATATAGTCGTTTGTGGGAAAGTCTGTGCCGGCATGTTTGTGTCTGATGCCTGCTCACAGCACTGACATCTCAGCTCCATCAGCTGCCCTTCCCACCCTCACCCCTCCCTTGTTTGTCTGCAGCTTCAGCTCCAGCTGCTCGGCACAGGTGGAGAGACACAGCTAAACCACTGTTTACACAAGAAGAACAGAAAGAAACACAGGAAACCAGTACAGCCGAAAAAAGGGGATTTAAATATACATGCTTCACAGGAAGATGCAGCTTGGGCTCTCCAGTCAAAGGAGCTCCCTGAGAAAATGGCAGGAGATAGACAGAAGGGAGCTGTACCATGAAACATTGAGGGAGTTACGAAATTTTATTTTTGGTGGGAAAAGTACATAATTACTGCATTTTTCTGCATAATGATTTATGCTTGAATACCAAACCTCATACCAAACCATCATCTATGTTTTTTATATATGTTTATTTCATAAGTATTTCCAGATATAGATACAGACACAAGTCTGTCCAAAACAGTTTACAAAAAAGTTTTTGTTGTTTTTACTTGCTCTTTTGTATCATTGTGAATTTACTCACTTACTAACTAATCTGGATTAGTTAACAAGCACACAAACATTTACCCTCCTGAACCTTTCAATCAGGAGAGAAAGCCCCTACGCTCCACCTGACTCTTAATACGTCCTACATCTTAGCTTAATAGATTCTAAATGCAATATCTAACTTTACCCTTTTTAAGTCACTACAATATTTACAGTACAACATTTTACATTTCCATTCTCCTTACTATATGCATAAATTGATGTACGATGTGTAAATGTGAATATATTTGAAATGAAAAAAAATAGTAATTTGGCATGTTTATGAGTCACATGTAAGTAGGAACCACGTGCTATTATGCTATTGTTTAATCTTATACTCTATTGTACTCACAAATGTAACAAACGGACACGCCCGACGAATCCCATTTTACGTCAGGAAAACGAATAATTTAAGTTCAAAACTTTGAGTTTGTGAGTATTATTACACCCGGAAAGGTGCTATAAGAGTATAATTAGTGCATGCGTGTTTCAGTGAATTGCCGAATTTGACACATTGAAAGGGGGAGCCCAGGCTACAAAAACGACGGAATAGACCATTTACGCACGGTAGGGTTTTTCCCTAACCATAACAGCTTCTTTGGGTAAAATGTTTAAAGTAAGATTTACTTACCGGGGTAATTACTACTTAATATTTAAATAAAATACAAACATTTTCCAAAACTCCGATGGAAATGGAGTGTGATTGCTGTTCTTTATAATGCTAAAAACGGACACCCCCGTGAGGTAAATCTATTTATAGTATCAGGTTTTGCAATATAAAGAATTGCTACAGTGTAAATTTCACTGCGGATGGGACCAGACGTTTCTCGCAAAAGAAATGGAGTGAACTATTAGTTTAATTTAAATTAAAATCCTTATCAATGACCGACTGAGCTAAGGCCGGGCATGAGAAATAGGCGTGTGGAAACCCCTCGGTTTACTCGATCGACGTCGAACTGATACTCGGTAAGTTTGCGTCGTTTTCGCTTTGGATTTAGACAATATTAACGTTGACAGGGGAGGTCTGAGTTCACAGCAAGAACAGAGCTTCAAACACTTCTTTAGACACAACAGCAAACCATCTTTTATAAAACAATAAAATTTAGAGAATTTACAACTTCCTGCTGAACTTGGCAACTTAATTTTTTTTGTACTGTCTTAGACAATGTCTTTCTAGGTTTTATTTATGAAATATAGTTCCTTATATTTACCCGATTTTACACTGACAGGTGCTTTCATAACAAGCGTTTCAAGTTTTTGGTTAAAATGGATGCAGTGAATCGGGTGGTTGTTTTTATATGTTCCGATTAATGTGCTCAAGATCGCATCCATATCCAGTCGCTTAAACGTGAAATTAAGAAAGCCTTTTTATAAGGCGAGGCTGAAAAAACAGCTGATCGGCCGGCCGGGTAGCTAAAAGTACTGAAAACGGGGACTGCGTTTGTCTAGCTTTGTTTAGTGAGGTTGTTTAATTACAGTTTTTAATGAGCTGTAATTATTGTGACGGGCGACACGGATCCCTAGGCACCGTTTTTTGGACGGCTTGGCAGAAGATATAATAAATGTATTTTGAATCATAACAGAAACTCTACTGTTTTTCATACAAGGGAACAGGATTACTACCAATTACACTTTAAGTGTTTAAACTGATGTTTTAAAATACCGTTTTGCCCACGACTTGGAATTGAATCAGAATTAATCGCTATTATTTTTTGAAAGAAATATTTATCCCAGTGTTTATGTATGTTTTAAGTGCAGTCCTCTTCAAATCGGGCCTGCCTTACGAATCAAGCTGTGTTTTCCCAGTGTCTCGAAAGCCAGTTCGCAAATTCCCCCCCAGTGGTCGCTGTCAAAGGGGTACAAGACTTAACAGAGCTAAATAAGAGCGGTTTGCTCCGTTATCCAGATGCACATGGGAACCGTGACACAGACGGGAAAGTCTCATTCGGCAATCTAAATGTATTACTGTGCATTTATTTAATTGAAACTGCTTTGTGTTTGTAATGCAAAGTCAGACAAAGGAGGACTGTGGCTGAGCAACAGTTTTTATTTGTGGGCACTGATCCTTAGATTTCCAAATCCACTAAAACAAAATGGAGAACCTTTTGATGGTAATTTGTATGATTGAGCAAGTAAACATTTTAAAATTGAATAGATATAGATGTTTAATTCAAACTACGACCCACTGTTCATGTTAGCTATGTCCTAAATATCAAAATGCTCATAGTTCTTGTTCTGTCCTTTGCTGTAGTAAAGCATCCCGGGGCTAATGATTCTGTTGCCCATGTGCTGTGTCCCTGGAGCAGGGTGCATTTACACACCTCCCTCACTTGTGTATTTTGGCTGTCCCCTGATTACATGTCCTCAGCTGGTGGGTGATGCCTGTCATGGCCACATAGGTGCTTGGCTAATTGGATTTCAGATTTCCACCAGCAGGCTGCTCAATGGCCCGAATTCCCATTTGGGTCCAGCCCAGAGTTGCGAGGGGATCTCTTCCCCCAGTGCATGCTGGGAGGCTGGGGCCACGTTGAGAAAGGAAGTTCCCAGTTTCCGCCCTTTGTTATGCATGCCCTGAGTCAGGTGCCCCCCGTCTGCGTGTTTCTGTGCAGGGGGTGGCCCTATGCATATCATTTTAGACCAGCAACTCAGACCAATCCAGTTATGTTCCAGATTTGAGGGCCCATCCTAATTACCCGCCATTTAAGCACTATTTATCCCAAGACTGCCCCCCCCTTGCAGTCCCCCCTGTGTCCTCCCAGCAGCGTGTTTTCCCGAGCTCTCGTTATGTAAAAGGAGAAAATGTGTTTTCACTAATGGGTTTAAGCGAGGCCTGTAATTGCCCCTTCCTCTCCGCACTGCCGCACTGAGGTGGCGACTCGCCTCTTTCCAGCCATCTCTGCACGGCATGATTGCAGTGTGCTGCTGATGTCACTGCACAGAAAAGCAAATTACCTTCAAAACCTGAAAAGGTGTTTTTTTTTTTTTAATTATTATTATTATTATTATTATTTTTTGGGGAGAGGGTACTCTTCCCAACAATGGAAGTTGAATTGACCGTGAGCTTTGTGCTAGGGCTGGGGGGCTTTTTTTTTTTAATTCCGCAGTGATGAATCCATAGCTAGAGAACAGAGCGATCCACTCTGCTGTACTGCACACTCTCGCCGAGATCCTGGAAATGGCTCAGATCAGCGTGTGCCTTTTTATCCTCCTTGAAGGGGGGG